CCCCCCCCCCCCCCCCAGGCGGCCCCGCCCCGAGCCCCCCCCCCCCCCACTCCCCAAAGAGAGAGAGAGAGAGAGAGAGACCGGCCCGGATCGCCGACCGCGGCAGCCTCGGAAAGGAGCCGCCTCGCCCGGACCCGACGGGTGGCCTCCGCGCGGTCCTAGCGCCGCTCCGGTTCCCGGGAGGGCCGCCGCCGCCGGGCTCATTCATAAAACACGCGCGAAATGCACAGCCTCCTTCCACCCCGCCTCGCTGCTCTGCCTGCTCCCCCCCCGCTACTGAAATGGACCAGCCTGGAGGGAGGCGAGGGTGCCTCTGAGCCTTGTGCAGAGCGCCTCCCCTTTCCAGGGTTTGCTTGCATTAGGCTCTCATTTATTATTTATTATTAAGTATTATTTTTTTTCAAAGGCAACGTCTTCTCATCTGTTCCCAAGAAAAGAGAGACAGACACCCTCATAGTCAGGCTCTCACACCCTCCCCACCTCCCACCACAAATCCCATCTACTCAAGAGCCCCGGGTTCAAGTCCCCGACTCCTGGACCTGTTTCTGAGCAGACCAGACTTTTTTTTGGGGGGGGGGTCCTCGCTTGATTTGTTGCTTTCCTTGCCTGATCACTTGCTTGGGGAAAAAAATGACACCCCCGCCCCCCTTGTGCGGGGAAAACCCCCTTTTCTAAAGCGCCTGCCCTGCTGGACTACAACTCCCGCCATCCTTAGCGATGGCCGTGGCCGGCTGGGCCTTCTGGGAATTGGAGTCCTAAAGGGCGGGAGCCGCCTGCTCAGCTGGGGAAAAAGGTGGAGCGCTCGGTCCCACCCAAGAAAGTAAAGTTAGGGCGAGTTTTTGTGGACCGCAAGATCCTTCTGAAACCCCTCCACACACACACTTTAGCCCACAAAAACTGACCCCCCTCAGACGTGCTTGCCTTGAGATGCGTGTATGTATGTGGGGTTGAGAGACACCTAACAACACCCTCGCCGTGTAGCCCCCCCAATGGCATTCTCATCCCAGATTGTGTTTGCATTTCAGCACTATAGACTGTACATATACTTTGCCCCTCAATGAAAATCCTTATGGCTTCCTGGTCTTGCAACAGCCCTGCAAGGTAGGCCGGCTGTGATAACAACCCCACAGAGGTGGGTGGGGGGGGGGAAACAGAGAGTGAGAGATTGAGAGAACTCTTATCTCCCCCTCCGGGGCTGAAAAAAGGGATAATCTTAAAAAAAAATTAAAAAATTGGTTTTTCCAACCCAACCCATGCTCCCCAGTCAAAAGGATTAAGCCTCCACCATAGAGCTCTCGGCCTAGACCGACGGCGCCCCCCCTTTAAGGCGCCTTCCGGTTGGAAACGGCCCGCTCTTCCGGCGCCGTCGGAAGAGGACCACCGAGTTGAGGGCGTCCTAGAACGGCCGACACACGGAGAGAGAAGGCCCTCAAAATGGCGGGCCGCCCTTTCACAACCGGAAGCGACGCGCCGAAAGGGGGGGGAACCCCGCTCCGACCGTTACGCACTCGCGAGAGAGGAGCGCCTTGCTCCCAAAACGGCTCTTAAAAAAAAAAAAGGAAATAAAAGGTTTCAGGGGCCCCCTCCCCTCCCCAAAAATCTTCCTTCCGGTTCCATGCCCTTTCAGAAAGCCCTCCTCCTGACGTCATTTCCGGGTGGTCCTCCAGGGCCACGCCCCTTTCCCCCTGGGCGGTTGGTACGGTAACGGAGGAGGAGGAGGAGGGCGGGGGGGGAGGTCGAGGAGGAGGAAGAAGAGGAGGAGGAAGGGGGAGGGGAAATGGAGCTGGGCGGTATTTGCATATGCAAATGACCCCGGGGGGGCTTTCAGGGGGCAAGATGTAATCAAGGTGGGGGGGTAGGGGGTTTGTATGAACCTGTATTATCCCGCTTACCGCCTTGCAAGGTAGGCTTGGGAGGGTCGTGAGGGGGGGGTTGTCAAGACGCCTCCTTCTGAGGGCCGCTCCCCAAAAGGCTTCTCCCAAGGCGCTAGACTCGAACTCAAGCCCCCCGTGGCTTTTTTGAGGGAGTCCGTACATCTCGTGTTTTTTTGGGGGGGTGGGGGCCCTTCCTCTTCTCCTGCTGCCTCCCCCCCCCACCAGGGTGGCCTTCTCCAGAGAACCCTCCTGCCCTTCTCATGAGGTGCCCCATGTAGGACAGCTTTCAGGCTCAACCCCCTTGGCTTTCCAGAACAGAAGCTCAGGCTTGGATTATTGTTTCATCTTTCTTTCAGCCCAAGCTCTCCTCACAGATGATGGTTTCCCCCCCCCCCGTCAGCTTTCGCACCCGTATCCAGGGATCGGGAAAAGCCAGGAGGCTTCTAGGATCAGGGTCTCCCGGGGACACATCCTCCCAACACTTGATGATCTTTTCTAATTCCTTCCAAGTCGCGACCTCCTTCTTCGGATAACTTGGCCGGAGCCTTCATTCGGAGGATTGAACCCTGGCAGACTTTTCGCGAGGTAGCAATTAATAAAAATAAACCCCTTTTTATGGAGGGGTAGACCTGAGCGTGAGGAGAGCAACGGGGAAATATCAGCGTTTGCCAATATATTCTTCTTTTTAGCCCTAGATTCGCACCAGCTCCCAGTTAGAACTAGAGCCGTTTCCTTCACGTGGATGGGCTCCAGGAAGGGGTCCCTTGCAAGTCCCATTAGCGCTAGGCAGCATAGTCGAGGGGGGCGGTGTTTGATGGGATTTGTAGTGTAACATCTGGAGTGCCACAGACTACCCTCTGTTTCTAGTATCATCACCTCTCATCTAAGGTGCTCCGGCTTTACAGGGTCCTCTGTCTAGCACCAAAACTGTTCGTTGGGCAAAACTGCTCGCATGCAGATGAGGGGAATTACAAACGAAGGTGACCTGGGTGCTGAGTGATTTGCATACGGTTGGCACACTTGGAGGTGTGAATATGTAAATTCATTTAGAACCGTAGGCTTTTTTCCCCCCCTACAGCATGTGCCTAAACCTACTCCTTCCAGCCCTTTTCTCCTGAAACCTATATTTTGCTCAAAATGATTGTACAGGTGCAGATTTGGTTTGTAAACAAAACCCTGCATTTGAAGTGAGCAACGTATGGAACAACCTGTGTGGTTCTTTTGTGTGTGTGTGTGTATGTTTTGTTTTTATTTATTTATTTAATACTGGCCTTCCGGTTTGGCATGTAATGTACGTATTGCCTTCTCTTTAACTTCAAAGCAGTCCTGTCTGGTGACCCAGTAGACAGATTATAATTTGTTGTAGAAGGCCGTATCAGGAGCATGAACGGCCAAGTGGGTGTTTGGACACGAGTGTCAAATCCAAAGATAGCACCCTGTCCTATCAGTATACCCTAGTGTACTGTACTACAGCTTTGACTAAATCAAAAAAGGAAAAGAAAAAAAGGGGGAGCTCCCATCCCATAGCACGGATCTTGAGTTCCTGCAACTACAATTCTAAATGGGGAAATTTTTCAACTCATTGGTGTCTTACCACCTGATTAGTGTAGCCATTCTTCAGTCTCAAGAGACTATGGTAATGTGCTCTGTATGGAGGTCTTGGAACAGCATCTAGTGTGGCTGAGGCCAATTCGGCAGTGACCATCCCTTCCACACTGGAGACAAATACAGTCTGTCCCCTGTCCAGTTCCCTGATTTTGCTGCTTTCATGACTGGCTCTTTGCCTCGGCCTGCTGGACGAGGGTCTCTTCAAATTGGGAGAGGCCGTGATGTACCGCCTGCCTCCAGGCTGAACGCTCAGATGTCAGGGTTTCCCATCTGTTGAGGTCCATTCCTAAGGCCTTCAGATCCTGCGTACAGATCTCCTTGTATCACAGCTGTGGTCTCCCTCGGGGGCGATTTCCCTGCACTCATTCTCCATACAGGAGATATTTTGGAAACCGTCTGATAGGTTTTTTAAAAATGATAAAGTGGGGGGAAAGGAGAGCCACAGAGGGGATGCTTATTGGTGGAAACATGAAATATAACTACATCTCCCTCTACTCGTGCCTGAACTTCAAGGATATGGTTAAGGAAGTGGCAGAATGCTACTGCGAGCTTGGATGTAGACGGGAGGGAGGGAGGGAGGAAGCCTGCCTGCCGGCCTTTTGCCTGTGGTGGGCTTATTGCTTTGCACTTTGACCCGCAGGTGTTGAGAGCAACCATGTCGAACCAGCCGGACAACGAGGAGACCAGGAAGGAGGCGGCGTTTGCCGCCGAACACCTGGCGGCCGAATCCATGGCGGCGGACATGGACCCCTGGGTGGTTTTCGACGCCCGCAAGACTCCGCGGGCGGAATTCGAGGAGTGGCTGCAGACCTACCAGCCGTCGCGCGTTTCTCGGTTCGGCGACCCAGAGCGCAACGCGGAGCCCGTGGGATGGATCGCCGTGTACGGCCCCAGTTTCTGTCCCGACGGCGGCGACGTGGTGGGGCTGCAGGACGACTGGGAGCGGCTGCAGATGAGCGGGCGCCACGTCACCTTTGACACGGTCAGGGAGCTCGCCCTCAACCGGCGCGTGCTGACGGGGAAGTGGCTGATGCACCTGGACAGTGGCTTCAAGGTGGACCACGCCTGGCGTGGGGTGGCTCAAGCGGTGCTGGACGGCCGCATCGGCGTGGCCAAGGTCAGCCCCTGCTGCCCGGACTCGGATCGCAAGCAGGTCATCTGCGTCTACACAGAGGACTTCACCAACGAGGAGCAGGTGCTGGCGGCGGACGCGGTCATCCGCTCCACGGGGGTCAAGTGCCACTTGTCCTACAAGCCCGACGTTTACACTTACCTGGGCATCTACCGTGACAATCGCTGGCATCTCTGCCCGACCATCTATGAAAGCAGGTTTGACCTAGAATGCATCCCTCGGCGCTCCCGTATCATCAACAAAGTCACCAACACGGAGGTGACCTAATGGGCTCTTCTGGACACGTGCCACTTCCGGTATGGCGTGGTGCTCCTGCAGAGAAGCCTAGCTCCCAGCACGGAACACTCACTCTCCACTTTTTGTCCCTTAGAGGCCATATGACCTCCTCTGCGCTGGCCAAGAGGACTGTCGTTGCCAACCCCCCCGGCCACCTCGGAAGGAGGTGTTTTTTTTTTTGTTTTTTTTTTTTGAGGATTTCTGTATTATTGCAGAAGAGCTTTCTTTCACAGTGCTTCACGGACAATCTTTTCGTTTTAAATGTCTAGCCGAGGCTCGTTCCAGAGAGCCTCTTAACAGGGCTGCTTCTCTGTCTTAGTTTTTCCTTGTGTCTTTTCCTTTTTCATTGTGTGCCGCAATAGCCTGTGATGCTAAGGGAACCAGTTCTCCTGGAATTGCTTTGATAAGTTATGCCCATCTATAGCAGAAAGGCCCCATGTTGGCTGATCAACGGAAGGGCTGCTCAAAGGGAACCCTTAAGTACCACAGTCGCTTCGTTTTTAACTGTCTAACCACACAGAGTTGTTCCTTTGGGATGAATAATCTTTTAACCGGACTCTCTAAGGCTTGTGTGAGTTGCAAAACATTGTTATAGTCTTGCCCCAGTTGAAATAATCTGAATTTGACTTTATTTGCTTTTATTGGGGGGGGCAGCATCCCCGAAAATCAATTGCCGCTCCTCCTTTCTTGATCTCTGGACTGCTATAGGAGCAGTCACAATCCTGAGTCTCTCTGTGTGTCATAGTCTTGATGGTGGGGACGCTGGCAAGCTCCTTTTAAAAAGCTGTATTGATTTATAGTTGCAAACCCAAGCAGTTAATGCTTTAGCTGTCACACTTTATAGTTTCCCCGAGTCTCAAAACTGAGTGGCTTTTGTACAACTCCAGCATTTGAACCTTATATTCCTTCTCCGTTATTGAATGGCTGGCTGGCTAGCTCAGTGAGCTGCTGGCCCCTGAGCCAGGGGTCGGGACCTTTGATTCCCTACTGTGCCTTATTGGAGAAGAGCCAGCTAGGATGGTTTGGGCAAGCGACATTGTCCAAGAGCCACACATCCCCCCCCCCCGGGAAGGGAAAAGTAAACCGCTTCTACAACACCCTAGACAAGCTTCTCGGACGTCGGAAATCCCTCTGACAGCAGATAATTGTACTGTTCTTCCGCCACACTTCCGTAGTGATAAAACTAACGGGAAAAGTTAGTTCCCCATGTTAGAAGTTCGTTAATGAGTAACGTCATGTTGAATTCCTAATGTGGCCGGCTGGGCTTTCTCCGAGTTACGGTTTGTAAATAAAATAACCATCCCAATCTCTGCATATTTGCATTATCCACTTCCGATTTTCTACACGGTGACCCAGGGAGCGGCTTTTGCTGTCCTGTTGTGGGAATAAAACAATACATGGATTGTGGGTCGAAAGGTTCCTACCTGAGAGATAAAAGCTGTGAGATCTAGGAAATGGGTGTGGGCGGCTCTCTGGAGCCCAAGGGCTGGCCGAATAAGGCTTCCACCGCATGGGTGGGGGTGCACTGCTGTTCTTAGCATTGTAAATTCCCCAGTCATTTAAGCCCGGCTGTAGAGGTGGTGGTTGGCGAACTGAGGACTCACCCCCCCTTGGATCAACAGCGGCAACACTTCCGTCCACCGAGCTTTAGGTAGCTTTTACGGCTCTTCTCTTTATTCCCAGAACGATCCTGAGTGGTAGACCAGAGCATCCAGCTGGCCCAAGGTCACCAGTGAATTGCATCGTCCAAGTAGGATTTGAACCCAGGACTTCTGAGCCTTATTCCTAACACTAACCACTGTACCCCTACTGACTTTCATCTTCTTCTCCATCTTTCTAAGTTAAGTTTTCCCCCACTTTCCCAATCTGATCCAAAATTTCCTCAACCGTTTTGAAGCAGCTAAATACATGTCTTTTACACCTACCTTTTGAACTGTGTCCGCTTAATGCTCAACTGTGCTGGGGCTGTGTATCCTCTGTGGGTTGACGACACAATATTCCATAAAAGCAGCCTAACGTGAGATGGGGTTAAAGAAACAAATTCATAATGTGGACAAAAGGCAAGCACCCTAGAATTGATTTGAATCAATAGTGCACAGTCACAGTCACAAGATAAAAGACAGAATAGATACAGCCTGAAGCAGCTTTTTAAGATGAAGAAACTGTAAACGGCAGAAAATTAGAATTCTTTAGTGATGTCACGATGTGGCACAATGTTGTGGTTTTCTGTTCAGGAGATAACACTAATTGCTAAATAAAATTATCCTGTAGTGTGGTGGTTGTGGGGTTAGGCTGGGACTAGGGAGACCAAAGTCTTTTAAAGGGGTTGGCAACTTGTGGCATGCTCGATGTTTGTTGCACTACAGCTCCCATCATCCCCAACCAGCACAGCCAATGATGAAAGGGCATGTGAGCTGTATGCCCATATCTGGAGGTTACCCACTAAGCCCTTTGTTCCAACAAATATTTTTCCTGGTATTTCAGTGGTCTCCAACCTTGGGCCTCCAGATGTTCTTGGACTACAACTCCCAGAAGCCTTCACCACCACCTCTGCTGGCCAGGATTTCTGGGACCTGAAGTCCAAGAACATCTGGAGGCCCAAGGTTGGAGACCACTACAATAGTTCATCCTTCAACTGGAACGAAGTGATAGTTCTTACTCTCCAAGTGTCTTGTTTTATTTTGCTGAAGACAAGACATGGTCCTATCCTATAATGATTGAGGCTCTTAGCAGAGGGGCCATGCAAATCATCCCAGGTTTCTGTTCCTTTTTGGTTTCAAGTCCTAGTAGCATTTTTCAAACCGCTAACCTGTATTTCTGAAGTTAAAAGCTATTCATGAGAGACTGCAAGCCATTTGTTTTGAGTCGTGCAATTTTCACATGAGATTAGTGAATGAAATTGGGTCAATGTGACCTCAAATAGCTGTAAAGCGCTGAAGTTTCTGTCTATATCCACTCATTTGACTTCCCGTAGTGGCTTCTACGGATACCTAGTGTGATGTAGCCGATCAGTGACACACAAGGGACTCACGAGAGAGGGGCTTGAATTCTCACTTGGCCAAAATAATTTCACTGGGGAGGGATGATAAACAGTGTAAGCCCATCCCTTAAATATCTCACCTTGAAATATTAGGGTTGCTGGAAGTCGCTTGTGACTTAATGGCATATAACACACTACGGCAGCATGACACAGAAAGCTACACAGAGGTCCTTAATGAATTACTGCTTCTGTAGACGGGTGGTTCCCAAGCTTAGGCTCCGAGGAGGCCTTCCATCGACTAAAGGGTTCTGTGTAAGCTATAGTTTTTGAAATATCCACTATGGGCGTATAGGTGTCATTGGTTTTAAACCAATACAGTGGTGCCCCGCATAGCAACGATAATCTGTGTAGCCAAAATCGTCGCTATACGGATTTGTCGCTATGCAAAATAAAAAAGCCCATAGGAATGCATTAAAACCTGTTTAATGCATTCCTATGGGCAAAAAACTCACCTTTATGCGAAAATCCTCCATACGGCCATTTTCACTGCCCGGTAAGCGAGGAATCCAGGCAAAAACACAGCGAGTGGCCATTTTTTTTACCCGGCGGCTATTTTGGAACCGCCAATTAGCTGTTGGGAAAATATTGTTATGCGAAAATCGGTTAGCGAAACAGCTTACCGATCATCGCAAAGCGAATTTTTCCCATTAGAAACATCGTAATGTGATTGCTTTTGCGATCGCAAAAAGTTAATCGCTATGCGGATTCGTCGTTAAATGGGGCGCCCGTTAAGCGAGGCACCACTGTACTTTGTAAGGTGTACAAGGAGTTGTGAACAGAAAATGTGCCCCAAGAGGGCATGGGGATCATTTAAAGATGGGGAAATGTAATAAAATTTCATTCATGTTTTACAATTTAAAATCAAGCTGTGAGATTCAGGGTGTTCTCTACTCTCTGCCCAAAGGAGAGGAACATCTGGAAAAAAGTGAATGCAATGTAAGAGAGACGCAGCGGCCCCACCCTAAGGAGTAACAGTTTTGAGATCCACCACTCCATACCCAATTCCCTTGGATTTCAGAAGCGAAGCACGGTTGGGCCCGGTTCGTACCTAAACGGGAGACGGACAAATATTGCAATACAGAATTTCAGGTAGGGTTCGTACCTGAAACCCCGAAGAGTCCATCTTGCCAGTCAGAGAAACAAAGGGGAGCCGTGCAGTCAAAACGCAAAAGAAATGCAAGAATAGGTAATAAGCTTATAGACCGCTAATAATCATCGTACAATATTAAAGCTTGCAAGGATAAAAAAAACACCCCTTCATGGCATCAAGCTGGAGAATTCAGATCCTAAAAGCACCATTCCCAGCACTCACTGGGACGGGACGGGAATGGCCCGCAAACCCAGCTTTTCAGGTATCTGCCCACCTGCACTTCCCAAGATAAAAAGAACATTCTCCCCCCTCACTTCCCTTTGAAAATCCGAGGCGTTTGAGGGTCGAGATGAGCACATTTTACAAAGCTGCGGCTTCCGTTTATTAGGCACCTGCTATAAGAAAGTTGAGGGGTGTGTGTGGGTGTCGCGCAACAGTAAATTTCAATACTCCAAAGGTGGGGAATAAAAGTTGGAAGAGTAACAGCACTTAAGTGGTTAATGTATCTTCACACGACGACTCCCTTTAAAAATGCAGCAGATAGTCTCATCATGAAGCAAGGCACAGAAAGCACTCTGGACAGGGGCAGACAAGAGACGCAAGCCCCCCCAATCTACCTATGCCGGTCGGATCGGGGCCTGGCAGAAACTTTTCCCTGAATCCCCACCCCCAGTTCCAAAATCCCCGCTGTCCGAGGCGGGTGTCGTTTCACCGGCTTTTCGAGTATAACAGTTTATGGCTTGGACTCCATCTGGTCTGTCCCCGGGGAGGGACGGGAAGACCCTTCCCCATCGCTTGCTTGTTTTGCAGGATGGGCCCGTAGAGGGGGAGATGAAGGGGATGATGGAAGATCGAGGGCCACAGAAGGGAGGACAACCAGGCAGGTTCCGTGGCTGAAAAACGAGACCTGCCGGAAACCGGAGGAGTCCATCGTCCCAAAGGGGCTTTTAATATAGGAGAAGAGGCCACCCACTTTTATGACTTTGCAGGGCCAAAGAAAACCCAACCATGTTGAGTCCCGCTGGTCCTTTCCGCCTCCTTTAAGAGGAGGCCAGAGGCCAGCTCAGCCCCACGACAGCCCGAGAGTTGGGAATGGGGGGTCTCCTCCCCATAGGGCACGGTCCAAATCCACTGGGGTACAAGTTCCATCAAACCCAGCTTGCAGCACCTCGAGGTGAACCTCTTCCGGGAGAGGATGCTGTACATTTTTTATTGGGATTTCCACCGTCACCACCCCTGCGGCAAACAAGATTTTTAAGGCACTTCCAGGTATAAAGGACACTTTTGTGTTCGTTCGGCAACGCTAAGAACCGTCCTCGAGTTCGGGAAGGGCTTCTGGGCAGGTGAAAGGCTCACCCGCGAGAGTTTCTGCTTTCTGTTCTTAAAACTGCCCAAGGGCCCTCCCGGCTGGGTACCCTCTTCTGTACATACTTCGATAAGAAGAGGCAACGAAAAAGGCATCAAGTGGAAAAAGGGACCCCAGGCGGTGGTGTCTCAGAAGGCAAGATCCGAGAGGGGGATACATTCCTCATCGCCTTCCAAATGTCGTTGCGCTCTTTCGCAGTACATCGCTGTTTCGGAACAAGAACCGTCTCTGCCTTCCATAAGGCAAGGGCATTTAATCCAAAGTTGACAGACGTATAGCTTCTCACATCTCCTACAAAGGAGATTCCCCCCCCCTCTCCTTGATTCAGGCCGCTGCTCCATGGAAGTATTGAGACTGGGCAGGTAAGTCAACAGATCATCTGCTCTCAAAGAACAACAACACTCCCAAACCTGTATCCCTTGGAAGTCTCGACCTTCAAGCCAAAAAAGACCAGCTGGGAAACCAAGAATCTGAGCCTATGAGCCTGAGGGGGGGAGAGGCCGGTTGGCTCCCATTCCCCTATGAGTTCAGCTGACTCAGAAGCGAGTTCAAATCCATGTCTACCATAGAGGAGAAGCTGTCCTCGCTAGGCAGGGCCCCCAAAAGGCCATTGAGGAAGCTGCTGGCCGCGGCGTTGTTCCCTCCACCGCCCTCTCCGTTGCCACCCGGCTCCCCTTCAGCCCTCCGCTGGCTGACCAGGCGGGTGATGGATTCGGGGTAGGTCAGCAGAGTGCCCTGGTTGTCAGGAAGCCCAGTGGCGGGACCACCACCACCTCCTCCTCCTCCTCCCGTCAGGAGCTGGCGGAACTCAGCCGTGTTAATCCCCTCCAGGCTGGTGTAAGGGGCGTCGTCCAGCAGCCCTCCGAGTTCCATGGACCCAGCGTCCCCACCCTCGAAATGGAGGTTGAGAAAAGCGTCGGCAATGCTGGTTTCCGCCTCGGATTCGGGGGGCGGCGGCGGCTGGGACACCCCCAGGCCGGAGAGGTCTTCCATGTTGACGGTGGTGAAGGCGGACTGTGTCGCTGCGGCAGGAGCAGGAGCAGGCGGGGTGTGGCTGGGCCGGGCAAAGAAGCCGGCCGGAGGCTGGAGCATCATCTGAGGTTTGGGAGCAGCCGATGGCGCCGATGCTCCCAGAAGCCCTGGGATGCCTGCAGAAGACAGAAGAAATTATACAAACAAACAAACAAACAAACAAACAAACAAACACCACAACAACAACACCAACACCAACACCAACACCAACACCAACACCAACACACCAACACACCAACACACCAACCAACACACCAACCAACACACCAACACACCAACACACCAACCAACCAACACACCAACACACCAACAAACCAACCAACCAACCAACCAACCAACCAACCAACCAACCAACCAACCAACCAACCAACCAACCAACCAACCAACCAACCAACCAACCAACCAACCAACCAACCAACCAACCAACCAACCAACCAACCAACCAACCAACCAACCAACCAACCAACCAACCAACCAACCAACCAACCAACCAACCAACCAACCAACCAACCAACCAACCAACCAACCAACCAACCAACCAACCAACCAACCAACCAACCAACCAACCAACCAACCAACCAACCAACCAACCAACCAACCAACCAACCAACCAACCAACCAACCAACCAACCAACCAACCAACCAACCAACCAACCAACCAACCAACCAACCAACCAACCAACCAACCAACCAACCAACCAACCAACCAACCAACCAACCAACCAACCAACCAACCAACCAACCAACCAACCAACCAACCAACCAACCAACCAACCAACCAACCAACCAACCAACCAACCAACCAACCAACCAACCAACCAACCAACCAACCAACCAACCAACCAACCAACCAACCAACCAACCAACCAACCAACCAACCAACCAACCAACCAACCAACCAACCAACCAACCAACCAACCAACCAACCAACCAACCAACCAACCAACCAACCAACCAACCAACCAACCAACCAACCAACCAACCAACCAACCAACCAACCAACCAACCAACCAACCAACCAACCAACCAACCAACCAACCAACCAACCAACCAACCAACCAACCAACCAACCAACCAACCAACCAACCAACCAACCAACCAACCAACCAACCAACCAACCAACCAACCAACCAACCAACCAACCAACCAACCATCCATCCATCCATCCATCCATCCATCCATCCATCCATCCATCCATCCATCGTTTCATCCCCCGTGGGGATACGGGGGAGGAGGGCCTTCTCGGTGGCTGCTCCCAGACTGTGGAACTCCCTCCCACTGGAGGCCAGGCTGGCCCCATCTTGCTGTAAGCCACCTTGGTTTTTTTTTTCAAGGGGAACGACGGGTTGAAAATAGTTCAGACAGAGTTTGCCTGAAGAGAAAGTTCTTTGCCTGCTTGCGGTACATTTTTAAAAGCCAGAATAGAGATTGGTTAGGTGTGCCGTGGGGAGTTCTGGGTTCAAATCCCAGGGAGCCGCACACACTTTCTCCCCCCCCCCAGACTGATCTCCCTTCACAGGATGGCTGAGAGGGTGAAGGACGAGAGGCCTAATTATCCGGTCCGTCTGTCAACCTGAGCTACCTCACAGGTGGGTTGTGAGAATGAATTGCGAAGGAAAGGACTGGATATCCCACTTTTGGCTCACTGGAAAAAAGGCCTATAAATCTAAACTGAAATATAATACAGTGGTGCCTCGCGTTTCTATGGCTTTTTTATTTCCGCACAGCGATGTTTCCCATAGCGAGGGTTAATCCGGAACGGATTAACCTCGCTATGCGAGGCACCACTGTAATGTCAAATAACTTATAAACTAACCAAAGAATAAGTTGGCAAAAGTAAAAGGGAAAAAAGGACTATCTATCTATCTATCTATCTATCTATCTATCTATCTATCTATCTAATCTATCTATCTATCTATCTATCTATCTATCTATCTATCTATCAAAATAGATTTTAAAGACTAACAATCTTATTTCACTCTGAGCTTTTGCTGAGCAAAGTCTGCTTTCTCAGACGCCAGAAGGCAAAGACATGAACCATATGTTTATCCACAGCCTCACGACAAGGCGAGGTCAGAGATGCACCAGTATAAACAGATGTGGGTCATTTATTGACATTCCGGCATCTGGTCCATGAAAGGTCGCTATGAAGCAAAACTGCTCGCCTCCGAAGTTCTGCACGGTTTGGTTTGCATTTCAATCGGCAACCTGGCCGAGACAAACTAAAATCGCTACCTCTGGAAATTAAAAATTAAAAATAAAAAAAATAAGATAACGTAGTACAATAAATTCTAAAAGCATCTAAAGTCAGGTCTGGGAACAGAACCTGCTATTACGGCTCAAGGCAGTCTTCACAGATTCACAGACGGCTCCTCCCTGCTCCCTAATTCTGAATTCTGCTGGCTGTAAACACTCCAGGGCGAAAGCAATGGACTTTGTTTATTTATTTAGTCCCGCCCGTTTGCCTTGGGGCCCGCCTGCCACTGGAATGTGGCCCAGAGAACGTTGCTCAAGCCGAATTTGGCTCTCTGGCTGAAAGCGGCTCCCCGGGGTTGACCTAAATTCTCAAAGTTCCCGAAAGGTTAGGCAAGACAAGTCTTCGGCTCACCGTTCCACAAAAGTATTTGGGCACAGACTTGTCTTTTCTGGACCATTTTTGGGGGAGGAGGCTAAGATTGGCTGAACTGGCCAATCACACCGGCTAGATCCCCAGCCCCCAAATATTTGGGATACAGAAGGAGGGAAATGCATGGTGGGTCCTGAGCTTAACGCTTCCCCCCTCCAAAAAAAAATCTCCCCAATATTGTCAATGCCACCCAAACCTATAGCGGAATTAAGGAAGAGATACAAACACTTATTGTTTTGCCGAGGCCATTGAAATGGGGAAAACACAGGGCCAGGGGGAAGAATCTAGCATTTCTTACCGCTGGAACTGGGCCGCGCCAGGCTATGCTTCGGAACAGCAATGCGGCGCGGAGAGCGTGATTCTGGGGCTCCGACTGTCGGGGAGAAAAGAAAAGTGGGTCAAACTGCAGGTAATCTCAAATCGAAATGGGTCCAGCCACAACTTCCTCTCCGCCCCAAAGGAAAGAAGCCGCCTTGCTGCCCTGCCCAAAGGAAGGTACCGGGGGGGGTTTCACTATTCAACCAAGAACGAAAAGACTTTGACTCTTTAGCTCCTTTGACCTTCTACGCCCAGATGTCCCTGGCCAACATGGTAAAGGATGATGGGATTGAGATATCTATTCATGCATTGGGACAACGACCAATAAACTGAAGGTGAGTGCCAACGAGGCAAAGGATCTATAAACTGGTGTTTCCCATGTCCAAACACAGGACATCCATCCATCCATCCATCCATCCATCCACCCATCCACCCATCCATCCATCCATCCATCCATCCATCCATCCATCCATCCATCCATCCCTCTTTCTTTCCTTCCTTCCATCCATCGATCCATCATCTGTCTCTCTTTCCATCCATCCATCCATCCATCCATCCATCCATCCATCCATCCATCCATCCATCCATCCATCCATCCATCCATCCATCCATCCATCTCTCTCTCTTTCCATCCATCCATCCATCCATCCATCCATCCATCCATCCATCCATCCATCCATCCATCCATCCATCCATCCATCCATCCATCCATCTCTCTCTCTTTCCATCCATCCATCCATCCATCAATCCATCCATTCATCCATCCATCCCTCTCTCTTTCCATCCATCCATCCATCCATCCATCCATCCATCCATCCATCCATCCATCCATCCATCCATCCATCCATCCATCCATCCACGGCCCTCAATTTTTACCTGCAAAGGGCGCCTTTTGCACAAAGTTCTTGAAAGTACTGAGTGTCCGCTTGCGTTTCTCCTCGATACGATGAAAGTCACCTGTTTAAAAATGGTGGAGCAAAAAAAAAAAAAGGAAAGTCATAAATAACTAAATAAACCTATGTCCACTCCTGTGGTTCCTCGTGGGCCGTGTTCCCACAGCTGCGTGCACAGGGCAGCCACTTAAGTCACAAAGGAACGAGAGGGCTTTGCACATGTTCAGAAGGGTACTTAAAGGCAATTTCATGCTCTGGACTAATCTTGCCGCGTGCTGTACGAAAAATCACATTGTGGTATTTCCCCCCCTCTGCTCAGGAAGTGCAGACCTTACTTTTTTTGCATACTTAGGTACACACATATTTCCACTATGGACGACTTGTCTGAAATCTAAACACACAGGCACTCCGCTTGAGGCACGCCTGCGTTTGTCTCTTGAGTCTGGATGTCCAGGTTTGGGCAGTGGCCAGGAGTGCGTTTGCACAATTAAAACTAGTGCACCCACCGCACCAGTTCCTGGAGAAGTCCGATCTTGCTACAGCAACACATTGCTTAGCTACCGTGTTTCCCCAAAAACAAGACAAGGTCTTATATTCATTTTTGTTCCAGAAAACGGCATTAGGGCTTATTTTTAGGGGAAGTTTTATTTTATTTTCATGGACAACCATCTACATTGATTCAGATATAGTCCTGTCATTTTCTTCTGGTTGCTGCACAAGGGTGGAGGATGGGGCTTTCACTGAACTGGGGCTTGGGTAGGGCTTATATTATGACGAGCATCCTGAAAAATCCTACTAGGGCTTACTTTCAAGTTAGGTCTTATTTTTGGGGAAACAGGATACATCCTGGCTGCATGATTGTTCACACACATTACATAGGTCTGCCTATGGGAAGTGTGATTACATCAGCTCTGCTAGCTGCCGATCTGTTTCTGGGCAGAATTCAAAAGTGCTAGTTTTAACCTATAAAGCCCAAAATGTATTGGGTTCAAGCTATCTCAGGAACTGCATCTCCCATTATGAGCCTGCCTGGGTGTTAAGATGACCGGGAGAGGCCTTTCTCTCTGTCCCACCGCCTTGACAAGCGTTCTTGGTGAGGACACAGGAGGGGGCCTTCTCGGTGGCTGCTCCCAGAGACTCTGGAACTCCCTGCCACTGGAGGCCAGCCTGGGTCCCATCTTTGCTGTCCTTCCACAAGTTGGCAAAGACCTCTCTCTCTCTCTCTCTTTCACACACACACACAAACACACACAGAGAGAATGATGTGGTCATTGTACACAATCTGAAGGCAAGGGTTAGTGGCCGCTTTACGAATTCACTAAATCACCCCAAAAGTAAGCCAACTTTTGACCCCAGGCAGATCATCATCACTTCTGACCCGAACCTCATTTTGAAAGTCGCTTTTAAGAAATGAGAGAGGCCCGGAAACGTGGCCATGATTTTCAGAGGGTTTGTTTTTTTTGCCCTTTTTTTTGGCACAACCCCCCAAAACTTTCGGTGCCAACCTGACGAACACCCCCATCCACTCCATGGGGTCAAAAGCTAGCGTCCGTTGGTGATTTTTATATGTGAAGGTCTTGGTCTTTGGAATCCTTGAACCAAGACGGTCGCTGGAGGTGCTCTGGCAAGTGTAATTTGGGGGGAAAAAAAGAATTTCCCCCAAGCTCTTGTGGGTTTAAATCCCTAAAAAAAGCAAGAACATTCAAGGTTTCTTCCCTTTTAGTTCTACTGCCTTTTCTGCAGGCAAGAAACGGCTGGTGTCTCCGAGAGGAAGAAGCAAAACACGCTCTAGAAAAAGGGCTATTCCTGCTGGCTTGTGTGTGTGTGTTTGTGTGTGTCTTGAAATACCTTCATCCGGGAGATAGCGGAATTCCATGGGCCCGCTGACTTCCTTGTCCGACGGGCGGCGCAGCTGCATCTGGACCGTCACCGGCTCCCGCAGGGTTTGGTCCATGTACGGCGGGGTCTTGAAGACGATGGCCACTTGCCGGTGGACGTCGGCCTGAGAGAAAGACCCCCTTGCTTCCCAGGAGTCCTTGAAGAACCGGACTTCAATGTCCTCTAAAACAGAGACAAAGGACTAAGATGTAAGTCGAGGGGCTTCTGAAAGACAGGAGTGCGAGAAACGATGATACAGGGCAGGCCAACACTCAGGGACCCCAATCCAGGACTTCGTCCCAACCAGAGAACCAACCAACCAACTGGCCTTTGTGAGTCGACACCAATGAATAAATATACCGTAATCAGAATTAATACAAACCTATATCCATACAGTAAATCATTTTATCTATAGATACCATATTTTTCTGTCTATAAGACTATACTTTTGTTTAAAAACTTTAAACTAAAAATTGAGGGTTGTCTTATACACAGAAGCAAGCTGAGGAGAGAACACACACAAGCGGAGGGGAAAGCAGGGATCAAAGCAATCCTGCAGGACTTTGATCCCTGCTTTCCTCTCCAGTTGCTAAGCCTTAGCAAAAGGAAAGCAGGGATCAAAGCGCTGTAGGATTTGATCTTCTGCTTACTAAGTCCCATGGGGCTTAGCAAAAGGAAGAGGGGAAAGGATCAATGCAATCCTGTGGCTGCATAAAGAGAAAAGGGATCAAAATGATCGTGCAGTGGCAGGATTGCTTTGATCCCTTTCCCCCTCCTTTTGCTAAACCCTGCAGGGCTTAGCATGAAGGGGGAAAGCAGGCATCAAAGGGATCCTGCAGTGCTTTGATCCCTTCCCCCCTACACTTGCTAAGCCCCACTTAGATTTCTTAATTTTGGGTTAGAAAAGTGGGGGGGGGGTCTTATACATGGGGTGAGAGAAGAAAGAAAGATCCTTTATGGCCATCCAAGCATTCACTTTGGTCTGTTTCAAGGCAGTATAGTCCCTCCCTTTTTTTTTCTGAGACCAATCGAAGCAGTGATGGGATGTCCCAAGAAAGCCTGACACTTGAGCCACAGAAGCAAAGAGCACATACTTACTTCAAGATGCACAATACAGTACAGCCACGATATCTAAGCCCTTTCCCCATGGACACAGAAAAATCAGAAAGCAGCAAATGCTACACATAGCATGGTCTCTGCCTTCCTCTAAGTAACTAGTTCTGGTAAATACATCATGGAACTACATAAAGTCAGGGCCCCTTATCCATGGGGACCAGTATCCACTGATTCACTTACCCACGGTCTGAAAATATCAAAAAATATTAAAAGAAAAAAAAATCCAGAAAAACTATGATCTCATGTATTACCAGAACCAGCCACTAAAGGGAGCCAGAGAATACTTGTTAATACATAGCAAGTCTCTGGCATCCTCTAGTGGACAGTTCTAGTAATGCATGTGAAAATACATTTTGAGCCCCCCCCCCCACATTTGAGCTTGCTTGCTTGCTATCTATCCAGCATTCGCTATTATCGGAGGTTTTTAGTATCCACATGAGGCTTAGAACCAATCCCCAGAGAATAAGGGGGGGTCTTACTCCTACCCCCAGGCAAAGACAAAGCAACCTCCAAATTGGTACCTTTCTGGACTTTGTCACAGAGGAGGAAAATCTCGTCTCCCCCCAGGCAGCTTCCCGAATTACGATTCACTCGACAGATCTTCAGTTCAGCTGTGTTGGGGGCACCTTGAGAAAGAAAAAGGTGAAAACACACTTGGGGGGGGAGTTGGTGCCACCCACCACAACCCCATTGAAATGTTAGGAGGTAACTTTAGACCCATCCCTTTTCACGGGGACTCAGCACAAGGACTAAAAAACCAAGGTTCCAGTCCTCACTGAGCTATGAAACTCTTACGGGCGTTAGGACCAAGTCACTGGCAGCCTTTACCACCTAGCAGGGCTGTTGTTCTAAGGATAATATGGAGAAAGCAACTGAAGGAGAGGCAGGATATGGTTCTAGACCATCAATAAACTGAGTTCTAGAGCATCAATAAGCTGGGTTCTAGACCACCAATAAACTGAGTTTATGTGCCCTTGACTTGATTGAATCTTGGGGCTTCTGAAATGGAACTGAAAATGAGACCGATTGGATTTAAGGATGTGACGAATTCTTCCAGATTCTTTTTTTGAAAATTATGATTATTATTCCTCGTGTCAGATCAGGATGCCTTGACACGATGAAGAATTTCCCTTGATGAGGAATTCTTGGGAGATTCTTCTCCTTTAAGCAACAGGGAGTGCATTTTCTCCCTTCAAAATCCTGGCCGTTTCTGCAGAAGGCTTCTGTTCAAAATCTGAGACTTCGAACAGAAAGCACAGGTGCGTGCGTGCGTACACCCGCTCACCCCCTGCCTCCACAGGCAGAGCAATCACAATGATTGTTCGAAAAGGCACGAGCAACCCATCCAAGGCTTCGAATCCCTGGACGTCCGGGCAACGCAGCAACCCTGGGCTCCCCCACAAGTAATTTCACCCCAAGAACGGCACGGCTAAATGCACGGCTCCGCTTCTCGCCTCAATGCTGTCCCTTGACAAGCACTCACGATTGTCATAGATGGGCTGCGAGACCACCAGAGGCAGCTGGACCAAGCGGCTGCTGCCTGCGTCCCGGATCCACACCTGGAAACACAGTCGAACCGCATTCAGGTCGTAATCTCCTTTTAACTCTTCTGCAGACACTGCGGGGGAGAGAGAAGAGAAACAATAAGACCAATACAGTGGAACCCAAATATCCACCGGGGATCAGTGCCAAGCCCCCCACAGACCCAGAGGAGCCATCGTCCACAATGACCTGGTGGGTTGGGCAGTTGACACGGGGGCAAGATGCTCTCACAAGGAGCATGAGCCCAAACGTTGGGCATGATGATCCAGGATCCTATTTTCAGGCAGCGGATAGGTGGATCAGTGGATAGGGATCCCGTGGATAAGGGAGGGCCAGATGGGGACTGCCTGCCTAGGAGTGCTCACGCTCTATCACCCCGACCTACCTCACAGGACTGTTGTGAGGAGAGAAAAAGAGGGATAAGAAAAGCCACGTATGTCCCGTTGAGCTCACCGGAGGAAAGGTAAGACATTACAGTGGTGCCTCGCTAGACAGTTACCCCGCATGACAGTTTTTTTCGCTAGACATTGACTTTTAGCGATCACTGTAGCGATTCACAAAACAGTGATTCCTATGGGGGAATTTCGCTGGACAATGTTTGGTCCCTGCTTCGCAAACCGATTTTCGCTAGACGACGATTTTGACAGCTCCCTCCGCGCTCGCAAAATGGGTGTTTTCGGGACCTAAGCTTCGCAAGACAGCAATTTAAACAGCTGATCGGCGGTTCGCAAAGCGGCTTTCCTATGGCCAATCTTCGCTAGACGACGATTCTTCCCCATTGGAACGCATTAAACAGGTTTCAATGCATTCCGATGGGGAAATGCTTTTCGCTAGACGATGATTTCGCTAAACAGCGATTTCAGTGGAACGGATTATCAACGTCTAGCGAGACACCACTGTATATCAGAACAAAATTATAACAAAGGTAAAGTAGACATCCAGTGAGCATGTTAGCCAGAACCATCTTATTTGATGGCTCCTCGCCGCGTCTTACCGTTGAAAGGATTGTTGGCCGTTTCAAGGCGCCTGGCGACCGCTTTGTCCAAGTCTCGTTTCCGCACACATTGGATCCCCAGGTTCTGGAAGCTGGGAAGAGCCAGACAAAGAGGGAGGGTCATCGGCCGGCGTGGAGAGGAGCGAAGAAAAGGCCGAAGAGGGAAGCAACGGGGCAGAAAAAGCAGGGGCGAGACAGGAAGGAAGGGAGCGAAATCTTGATCTAAGCCCCGCTCGCCATAAAAGTCACGGGCGATGTGGGACCAGCCCCGACTCCCCCTCGCCACGAGGGACGGCCGTCACCCTGCTCCGAGTTCACTGCAGGAAAGGTGGGGAAAAATCAGAAACGATCATGTCCTGTGACAGACAGACACCTCTCCCACCTATGGAGCAGGGGAAACAAAAACCAACGATTAAAAAAAAATCAAATGGCTTATAATCACAATTTTAATCATGATTCAAAGACAGTTATGCAAAGGAAGGGCAGGATCTGTTCTCGAACCTCCCAGAGTGCGGGACCACAGGATGATGGGCTCAAGGTACAGGAAGCCTGATTTTTTGGGGGGGCTGACTATCAGGAAAAACTTTCTAACTGTTAGAGCGGTAAGACGAGGGAACAGAGTCTCTTGGGAGGTGGGGAGCGCTCAGACGCTGGAGGCTTTCAAGAGGAAAAAAAAAGGGACCACCCTCTGTCAGATCTGCTTTGCTTTGGATTCCTTCCTTGAGAAGGGGGTGGGACTTGATGGCCTTAAGAGGGCCCCTTCCAACTCCATGATTTTACGATTCTTTAAACACTGGTTTCGATTTAAATTTAAAAATGTTTTGATTTTAAATTTTAAAAAATTAATTTTTTGACTCATTGTCAAAAATCCCTCCCCCCCCCCCAATTTAGATTGTGATTTAAATTGCAATCGCGGCTTTGAGCGGACGGCTGGAAATGTGAAAGTAACAGGGCAGACCAGCCGGAGAGAAGCCCCTCAAAATGTACCCCGGGAAGGAAGACTCTCCAGTCCAGCTTGCCACCCTTGGGGGCGACCCACAGACAA